CGCTCCGAACAGTCTTCCTTTGAGAACGACCCGAGTCCGGATAGCTCGGTTACTAAATTATCCACTCACAAAAATACTACAAACAAAAGCACATAACACCGGACCAATCAATCCACTTCTTATCATTTGTTCACCTTCCCCATTTTCTCCCATTTCCCAAATTCTAACAGAAAGTTAATTAATTTTTACACCTTACAAATAACCCTTTCAATTTTTGTTTTTCTTATTCCCCAAAATTTCCCCCTTTTTCTCTCTACATCAATTATTCAGTCATTAACAAAATTGTTAGTCACTTCCAACAATTTTAAAAATTTCTTAAATCTTTTCTTTTTTTTGAGAAAATTACATATTCTAATAATTTATGTTATCGAATTGGGAAAAAATGGATAAGCAATGAGTCATTGACCTCACAGTATAGCTCAAATCTTGAATGGATAAGTACATACTACATATCAGTTTCGAGATTTTCTTTTAACTTGTTTTTTGTACTTTTCCTTTCACATTGAAATTGAATTGACTGTAGTTCAATTGAAGATTTGAAATTGGGACTTATGAATTTAGTATAGCTGCAAACTTGAAATTTGGAAATTGGGGCTTATAAATTTCTATAGTTATTTCAATGTTTGTGTTTGAAGAAGTTTGTGGGTCTTGTGTTATGAATGAATGGTGCTTTACAAGTTAACTATTATATGCATCGAAAATAATATTACTGAAAACCTAGATTAAGGACATATAACTGATGATTTTGCCTCTAAAAATTCCCCAAGAAGCCTTTTTTTAAACAATTACATTCCTGTTTTTTTTTTTCGAAAAGCATCATTTTATTTTAAAGTAAACAAAATACTTGGGGCATTATTTTTTGTATTTGCCCAGGGCCCCAAAATGTTCAGGACCGGCTCTGCCGATGTGAAGGAAGTGGCTACGGCGGCGTGAATGGTCGGCGGCCGATACGACACCATAAAAAAAGTTCGAGCTTCTAATCAACCTGCAAGTTTGCATAAAATAATACCATGGTAACATAGACCCAAGTGGTCATATTGAATTCTTTGAAGGTAGTTTACTTACTTACCTTATAACCTGGGTGTTCACATGATGTTATATATTTATTTTAGATATTTGATGGGTAGTGGCAGTTCAGATGATGGGAACTGGAAGAATTAGGAAATAGAATTTTTTATTTTTTAGTTATGAATCAGTGTTCTGGTTTGTGGTGTTTTTTGGTACTTGTTAGTTATCGTGTTTCATTGTTTTTTTTTTTTTTTTNNNTTTTTTTTTTTTTTTGCGTTAATGGTTCTTCAGAATGTACAAAATGTCAAAATTGATATGTTTATAGATTTCTGATGAGATTACGTTATTTGAGATTTTCTACCAAATTTTCAAATGTTTTGGTGTCTAATTTGTTACTTTAATTGTATTGAATTTGATTTTACAATAAATATTACCCAATTTGTAACTTTAATTGTATTGAATTCGATATATTTATATTTCTGATTAGATGACGTAAATTGCTACCCAATTTCAAATGTTTTGTTGTTTAATTTGTAACTTTACTTGCACAAAATTTGATTTTATAATAAATTTTAAATCGTTACTTGAATTTGATTTTATAATAATTAAATATATAATGGGTATAAGATTTTTTATTAATTTTTTGATAAAAAAAAAGATGATATTGGATAATACTTAGATTTCTTTTCTAATTTGATTAATAGTTTAACTAATAGTTGGCCATTGAATAAATCGGTATGATGTATACTTGAAATTGAGATATGAAAGTACTTAAAAAATATTGAATGATTTTGATGCGTAAAAACAAAATAAAATAAACATATCTTCTTTAAAGTTTGGATATTTCAGATTTGTTGATTGATTTTTTTTAAAAAATAAAAAATAAAAAATACAAGGTTTAATAATATTCCTTAAATAATTGTTGTGCAAATATAAGCATTTAATAATATATGTTTTTCGTTTGTATTTATTTTATTTTCATAATAAGATGTGATGTAAAAAATATAAACAAAATATTTAATATAAAGTCTAAATAAATATATTAAAATATAAATTCTTCCGTGCATCGCACGGATTATGCACTAGTATGCAAGAGTACAACTCTAATTTTATTCCACAGTTGGAGGTGATAAATAGATTATGGTAGTAGTACACATACAACATCGATGGGCCGAACCTTGGAGACTGTTACAGTAGAATTGGACAAGGCACAAATAGGCCCATCAGGCCCATTTTCCAAGCCCAATTTAGTACTCTTGCAAATATGCAAACTGAGGAAA